GTGCCTGGCATGATTTTCAAGCTGCCAGGTCTGGGACTCGAATTATACAGCGAGATCCAGCTGCCCTAACCACCACACCACCAGCGGGCCCTAATTTCACCTATGAACTTTCGTTCTCTATAATGCTCATCACATGTGCTTTGCGTTTTTTGTTTGTTTGTTTGTTTATGGTGTGTAGCTCTCCACTGCACATGGGCCCTAGGAGGGCAGGACGCTGTCTGTTCTTTCTTTTTTTTTTAATTTTTAAAAGAATTATTTATTTAATTTTATTTATTATTATTATTATTATTTTAATCTGACCAGAGAGAAAAAGGGAAAGTGAGAAAGCAAGCTGCCAGGTCTAGGACTCAAACCATGGTCAGCCATGTGGGAGCCCAGCACCTTAACCACCACATCACCTGCCAACCCCGGAGTGCTCTATATTCCGTTCAGCGATGTGTGTACCGTTCAGCGATGTGTCCCAGACACCTGTCACAATGTTGCTATCAGATTGCTATGGTTTGAATGTGTCTCCCTGAAATTCAGGTGATGAAATTCAGTTGTGATGGAATGAGGAGAATGAAAGGTTGCTTGGACCACAGTGTTGAGAGTTGAGGCCTTTGGGAGTTAATTAGGATCTGATAAGGTCATCAGGGAGGGGCCCCATGATTGAATCCTGGGGTCTCTAAGGAGAGGGAATGAGACAGATACAGAACAGACATGGGTGCACACTCTTACTCTGTCTTTCCATGTAATGCTCTGTGCTGCCTCGTGACTCTGCAGGGAGTCCCTAACACAAGACCCTCAGCAATGTGACCCATTGACCTTCCACCTATAAAACCATGAGCTGAATAAACCTCTATTCATTTTTTTTTAAGATTGTACCGTTTATTTTTACTTTATTTATTTATTTATTTTAATTTGACCAGAGAGGGACAAAGTGAGAGAGAGAGACAACGAAAGTGAGAAAGCAAGCTGCCAGATCTGGGACTTGAACCACGGTCAGCCATGTGGGAGTCCAGCTCCCTTAACCACCACGCCACCTATTGGACCCAATAAACCTCTATTCTTAAAAAAAATTTTTTTTTAAACTTTATGGCAGGGACCAGCAGATGGCATAACGGTTATGTTGCTGGACTTCCATGTAGTCAACCGTGGTTCGAGTCCCGGATCTGGTGTCTTGAAACATGCTGGGTGTGTGTACATGCATGCCCCAGATCCCGAGAGGACAATAGAGAAGGGATTGCAGCGTGGCCATCCCTCCTGGGGGGTGATTTCTTGTTTTCTGTCTCTCTGTCTCTCCAGTGAGCATACGTGGCCTAGAGCAAAAAGTCTCTCTGCAAAAAGAAAATTCATGGTAGAACATGTGCATGTGAGAGTGACAGAGAGAGAAAGGAGAGAGAGAGAGAGGGAGAGAGAAAGTGGTCTGGTCTTGCTGAGATCCTCCTCCCCTTCCTTTAGTCCTCCAGCCTGTCAGAGTTTGGGCACTCTTACACATGCCTGCCATGTTTCAGGCTGTTTAAATCCAGGGGTTTGAACCCAATGGACCGAAACACAGGTGCTTAATAAATGTGCACTGAGTGAGTGAGTGATGACTGGAAGACAAGGTAGGGAGATGAGACGAGCTGAGAGGAAAAAAGAAATGAAGCCGGTGAATGTGACATTTGCTCAAGATTCTAACCATAAAATATGACGACATGAGCCCTGCCTCTGTGGCACAGTGGTGGTGGACTGAACTGCAGTGCGGGAAGCCATGGGTTTGATCCCTGGCTGGGGCAGCCTGAAACATGCCGGATATACAAGGGTCTCCAAGATCAGGATGAAAACTGGTGGGCTGGGGGGAGGGGATCTTGGTGTGATGAGACCCTGTTGAGAGTCTCTCTCTCTCTCTTGTGTGTGTGTGTGTGTGTGTGTGTGAGTGTGTGCACTCTCTATTGTGAATAAAAATAAATAAATTTTAAGAGGCAACATGAGGGGCCGGCAGGTGGAGTGGTGGTTAAGGCACCGCACTCCCACCAGGCCAACCGTGGTGGAGTCCTGGACTTGGTGGCTTGCTTTCCCACTTTCCCTCTCTCTGGTCAAATTAAAATAATAATAACAAATAAAATGAAATAAAATAATTCTTTTTAAAAAAGGCAACATGAAAAACATGGACTTTGCAATAAAGCTGTACTTTCCTTCATAAAAAACAAACAAACAAACAAAAAAAAACCCCAAAAACATGGAGAGTGGTTGTGGATCTTAGATGTCTCATCTTTTCTCCAAATGTTTGGCTTGAGCCACCCTCAACGACTTGGCCCTGGTGGCAGAAAGCTCTGGGTTTGGAGGAGAGGAGAGAAGGGAAGGGGAGAGAAGGGGCGCGGGAGGGAGGGGAAGAGCACCAGAGGATCAACACCTGAAAGAAAGAGAAGGGGAGAGGAAGGGAGGGGAAGAGGAATTGGAGTCTGAGCTCTGCAGGGGAACTATTTCTTTATTATTTTCCTGTGAATAAAGGGGCTGGATTTGGAGCCAGTTTCAGAAAGCACGTACTTTAGTGAGGACTGCCCCTTTGATAAATGGGGGAAAGGAGGTGAATTGCAAACAGGATCCAGCCACAACAGGACTGAGAAACAGTCACTGGCTCTGGAGGAGAGAGGCTGCCCTGTGGGGGAGAGAGGTGGGCTGAGCAGGTGGAACCGAGGTGTGGGCTGAGACGCAAAACGCTATGTGGTTCATGATTTTCTCCACCCTGCGGGAGTAGGTACAGTACTTCCTGTGTTTCTCAGTCACAGCTCCCCGCTTGTTTCTTTCAGCGGATCGACCATGCTCTGTAATTATCTTCCTTATTTTCTTGTTTACCCGCCTCCTCTTTTAGACTCAAAACT